ATGGGGATCCCAGTGGAGATCAAACTCACTATTCAGTCGTAATTGATCTAACGAGATAAGCTTGCTAACCATTATACCACATCGAAGGACCCAATGATTTTATAAGCGTAGCTTAGATGTGACACTAAGTGTTGAGCACCCAGTGAGGTTCGAACTCACTAATCAGTCAAGCTTGTTAACAATTACACCAAAGTATTCTCGTGCATGTGCTTATGTGTTGTTTATGTTTTACGTAATTGCCTATCCGTTTGAACGGCAGGCGTTTCACTGTAAGGGTACATTCGTCTAACATCTCGCTTTAGTACGAGAAAATTATGACTCTCCACAACTTCCTAGCTATAAGTAATGTTTTGTCACCTCAGTGTTCCTCCCCGTTCTTGTACTGCCATCAATTTACATGCTCGTTCGATAAGCTATTTTCTGTGTTATCCCTGGCTACTACTTGCCGTAGAATGTTTCTGCCTTTGGAACGAAGGTGACTTTTCAAACCATTATTTGATTTAGCATCAAAACGCACCTAGCTTATATATATATATATATATATATATATATATATATATATATATATATATATATATATTTAAGACATTTTTTTATTATGCATTCTTTTTTTAAAGATACAAATATTTAAGTAAATGCTCTGTTTATAATAAACAGTATTAAACAACATTTACCGGCCTGTATGTCTGAGAAATTTTCATCGAAAATATGCGTCCTTCGACAGTAATCGAACCTGTATCCTATACGGAACCGTCATATAGCCTGACGTGCTTTCAACGATTTCGCACAGAGGATCGTTCGATTCGCAAGATCGATTTTACTGTTTTTAAACTACAATCTTCCATGAATCTCTCACGTACATTCATATCTGCTCAATGCGTATCCAAATGTAAACAAATGACGTCACACATTATGAAGTGGACAAAGTCCGACAATTATTTTAAGACACACACACACACACACACATATATATATATATATATATATATATATATGATGAAATATAGTTTATATATTTATATTAGTTTATATATATATATATATGATGAAATTTAGTTTATACATGCACACACACACACACACACATACACACACACACACACACACACATATATATATATATATATATATGATGAAATATAATTTTAACCTATGTTATATTTGTGGGTTAAAGTGCTCAGTATATATATATATATATATATATATATATATATATATATATAATCTTTTTAATTGCATTTTTACCCAAGGAGACCAGTGCAAAAAAAGCACAACAAAAAAAGTGATTACCATACTTTTTTCTTTTTACTAATATTTACCTCATATAAGGCCTAATAGAGGTATCTCGGTGTGGTGTAATGGTTAGCAAGCATGTCTCGCTAAAAAAGTTCCGACTGTAGAGTGAGTTCGATCCTCACTCGGTGCCCCCTAAGTTCGACCTTTTGCCACATCAAAGCTACGCTTAGAAAATCAGTATATGGTCCAAGAGGCACTCAATATAGAGGGTTACGATATGGTGTTGTATAAGCGCAAGAAAAAGCCCGTAGTGCAGTTCACGAGGTTATGTAGGAAAGGTAATAGTTATCCCTTCACTTGAAGAGGTCAAGATTGTAGTAATTGGGAAAAAACATCCAGCCGGGAGTCTGTTCCACCAAACAACAGCTCCATAAAAAGAAATTCGAGATATAAAAGGATAATAATGATAATAAAAATAATAATGTTTATCGTATTAGGACTTTGGACCAAATAGGAGCATAATGAGAAAAGAGGTTTAAAATCGGAATTTTCAGACACGCCTGTGTCCTTTTTCAACGAAAATGAAATTAGACACTTTTCTCTTGACATGTTAAATTTTTATTTATTTATCTCCCGAGTAGAGGCCTTGCTGCCTGATGTAGTTTATCGTCATACTCAGGACGCCCAGTCCTGGGGATTTCAACCCAACAGCAGCACCTTCCTATTGCAATAAAAGTGGCTGGGTCAATGTAATAAGATGCCAGCGTGACAGTGGTCGCAAGGACTGAGCAATTCTTGACCTCGTGTCATATCCTGTCTTAGTGGAGAAATCGGGTGAATAATTGTCCAATATAAGGCCCAAGAGCTACTCAAAGTAGAGGGTTACTGTGTAGTGTCGTATGAGCGTAAGAAAAGAGAAGAAGTGAAGCTCATAGTGTTATGCAGGAAAGGTAACCTTAATCTTGAACAGGTCAAGATTATAGTGATTGGGAAAAGATCCAGCCGGGTGTCTGTTCCATCAAACAACGGTTCGATAAAAAGAAATTCGAGATATAAAAGGATAATAACAACTATAAGAATGATAATAAAAATAATTTTATCGTATATTATTAGGCTTTTGGACCAAATGAGGAGATATGAGGTTTAAAATCGGAATTTTCAGACACTCCTGTGTCCTTTTTCAGCTAGAATGAAATTAAACACTTTTCTGTTCTCTTTGTTATTTTATTTATTTATTTATTTTTTTTCATCGTTTTCCCCCAGGCAAGGCGATAGAACCGCTAGAACGTCGGGTGGGGCACAGGGAGTGAAAGTGGAAGAGAATAAGAAGATTGAGAATGGGGAGGATTGAGGAAAGAACAAAAAGAAACAGGGTTCCAGAAAACGAAAGATGGCGATTGACGTTGCAATTGAATATCAACGCCAGAGTGATAGTGGTCGCGAGGACTGAGCAATTCTTGACCTTCTGTCATATCCTGTCTTAGTGGAGAGATCGGGTGACTACTCGCCCAATATAAGGCCCAAGAGCCACTCAAAGTATGAGCGTAAGAAAAGAGAAGAAGTGAAACTCATAGTGTTATGCAGGAAAGGTAACTCTAGTATTGAAGAGGTCAAGATTGTAGTGATTTGGGAAAGCATCCAGCCGGGAGTCTGTTCCACAAAGCAGCAGTTCTGATAAGAAACTATCTGAGTGGGACTTACATCTTCTTAACGGAATAGAAAGGAAATGAAGACGATTCACCCTTATCGACGTAGCATGGCAGGTCCTAGCTGCAAAAGTCAGGGCTGGTGGGTCCAAGGAATATAGCCCGCCAGAAAAATTAGCATGGAATTAGCGCTATTATAAATGTTGGATTCTTTTTCTTCCTGCTGTTCTTGACTTCACAATGACCCGTGACTTTCAAATTCTCCAAACCCACTTTACTCATCATTTTTTATCATTTCTCCCCAAAGGAGTGCCACTCGTACCCAAGGGGGCTACAGAGAGTGTAATAGAGGAAAAGACTGGGTATAGGTGGGAGTTGAGGAAGGGATAAAAAGATGAACGGGGGAGGATAAAGAGAAGAAAGGGGTTCAAAGCAACAGAAGATGTCGATTGACAATACATTTAAAATTTTGAAGATTATAAGGAAGCAAGTAAGAGGAAGGGAGTTCAACTGTCGGGAAGTGCGAGAGAAGAAGCTGTTGGAATAGAAGAGGCGGTTAAATTTAACTGTTTCGACAGTAAAATGGTGGGACCGAAATGCCAATCTAGTAGCACGCTTAAATTCATGCGGTCAGGGCACCAGTGAAAATAGCTCGTCAGAGCAGATTCCATGAAAATATTTATAGATAAAGACAGAGGGAAGCCGGTGAGTTGAGTCGAGACCTCAAGTCAGTACCGTCCCAGAAATTTCAACTGAGATTTTTTGATTTTAATTATAAATTTCTTCATAATTCCTATTTTCCCCAAGGCTTCCTCGTTGCTCATATCTTCTGTCCATCGCGTTAATGGTGGGACATTTTTCCGCTCCAAGTCCCTTTTTCATCTGTGAAGAAAATGGCCTCCATTTTTTTTTAAGCATTACGCCCCGAGCAAGGCGTGAAGCCACTAGGATGCAGGGGGGTGCAGAAGATTTGGAGCAAGAGCAGATAGGAGTGATAGAAGAAAGGATGAGGAGAGGGATAGTGGATAGATCAAGGTAACTGGAGATATCGATTGACATTACATTTGAATAGTTGGAGATTATAGCTCTCAGGGAAACAGTAATTGGGAAGGGTGTTCCACAGGCGACAGGTGCGAGGTATGAAGCTATTGGAGTAGAAGAGACGGCCACATTTAAAAGTTTCTACAGTGTAAGGGTGGGAGCGGGATGCCAGCCTCGTAGGGCGCTTGAATTCATGGAGTCTGGGAACCAGTGAAAGCAGCTCATCGGAGCAATTACCATAAAAGTATTTGTAGAAAAGACAGAGAGAGGCGACGGCGCGTCTGTGAGAGAGCGACTGTAGACGAGATGCCAGATCCAGGCCAATTATATTACATATCCGTCTCTGGATCTTGTCAAGAACTCCGAGGTAAACAGAAGGTGCCCCAGACCATATATGGCAGCAATACTCCATGCAAGGGCGAATGGTTGATTTGTATATTTGAAGTATCGATTCCGGGGAGATTCAATATAAGAGATTAGATATTATGTAGCATTTCAGCAATGTTTTTTTTTTTTTTTTTTTGCTGCTAATGATATTTTTCTGTCTTCGTACTTTGTTTAATTTCAGAAACACATCTTTCACTTATTGTATGACTCTTACTGTAAGCAGCTAAAATTAACATAAAGAAAAAATAACCGCCTAAAAAATTGATGATCTCATCGGAACTTTATAACGATCACATAAATATATCCTACCCAATTAGTAAACCCAGTGAATAGTCACACGAATAGTTATCATATAAACACATTCATTTATATATACAAGCATGTACAAGTGTGTAAATATGACCTAAGAGAAACGACTACGTACAAACTTCCTGTCATGCGCAAACACAGTTATGGCATCACCTCTTAACACAAACATTTAAACGCGTGCCATTACAGGCGAATAGAAGGCACTTCAACACAAAATGTCAACAACACTCAAGTCTGGATATCCCTAAGTAATAATAATTACAACAGGTAAAAATCGACTGAAAAATTTCCAAGGGAGGAGAACATAACGCCCACCTTTTGGCTCACGACCCAGAATTTCACTAGCAACCCTTTTCCTCAGTTACTCGGATATTCGAATAAATGTCTCCCTTATTTTCAACCCTTTCTTTCTTCCCTCCCTCCCTCCCTCTTTTCATCCATCCATCTATCGATCTTCTAGCCGTGCCTTCAACAGCAACAGAAATGTTTGGGCGCCATGTTTACAATCTAGAAATTCTCCTGACTCACGTTTCTGGGGTTTTCTCTTGGTGTTCTCACACGCTGATCACGTGATCAACGGAGCACGTGATCAAATCTGCAGGCTATACCCTATTCGAATCTTAAGGAGGCTCCATGGCGACGCCTTCTTCTTCTTCTTCTTCTTCTTCTTCTTCTTCTTCTTCTTTCTGTTTCGGTCTGTTCATTATTGGTCTATACCAATCTGCTCATTATCTATCTATCTATCAATCAATCTATCTATCTATCTATCTATCTATCTATCTATCTATCTATCTATCTATCTATCTCAATACATTCATTATCTTTCTACGTCAATCAATCTATCTATCTATCTGTTTCAATACATTTATTATGTTTCTGTATCTATCTATCTATCTATCTATCTATCTATCTATCTATCTATTCATTACCTGTCTACCCCAATCTATCTATCTATCTATCTATCTATCTATCTATCTATCTATCTATCTATACATTCATTATCTTTCTACCTCAGTCAGCCTGTCTGTCTGTCTATCTATCTATCTATCTATCTATCTATCTATGTCTGCCAACTGATGTACATATCAATCTTTTCGTATACATCAAATGTATATCATGTCCCTATTTGTTTTTAAGCTTCTATGCGTTTTATTGTGTTGTTACCTGTTTATTAATATATTGGAATTTGAGTTTTAAAAAGCCATTAATTTCTCTGATGACAGATATTCTTTTCGGTTTCTAGAAAGGACCCAGTTTAGATCCTCCGGTATCTATCTATCTATCTATCTATCTATCTATCTATCTATCTATCTATCTATCTATCTGCGTCTGTTCTTGAAATACTATTCTTAAGAAATACACGAACTTCCAAATATGTAAATATTTAGTATCATCCATGCTGATGAGAGGCAGAAAGAGGTCTTTCAGTTAGATAAAAAGAAGTTTCGTTTTGAAGGCGTTAAAATTAACAAGTCGTTCCTTGCCCCAGTTAACAACAGACCGTAGGTCATTTTTGAGATCACCTGCCAATTTGACCTTATTGAACTGGCCAGACTTACTACTGAGACAGGAGTAAATAATTGTGTTATCAGCATAGATAAGTTGAGAAGTAGGAAAGTCATTGACGAAGAACGGCCTAGATTCAGGGACAAAGTCTTGGAGACACCTGCATTAGTCCTAAAAGATCTAAATGTAGGCAGGTATTTAGAATAAATTAATATCTTGTCTCTCTTTGAATTTTTCATCTTAAATGCTGGTCTCTAGTTCAAACAATTCCGTATTTCACATTGGTGCTGACAGTCGATATACACCCTTGTGTAAATTAATTGAAACAACCGTATGAAAGATAGGAAACTAAAGAGGTTATTTCAATTAATTTGTACAAGGGTTTTATTGGTAACAGTGCAACACATTAATTATGCTACGGGTAGCCATGTTGCTTTCTGAAATTTTTCATTTGTGGCAAGTCAGATCTTGGAGGTTTTCGGATTTTAGAATTTCGGATAATATATTAGCTGTAGATCATACAAGTTGAGGGTTGTTGGTATTTTAAATCATCTTATTTTTGTTTCTATTTTAAAAAAATACAGAACAGAACTCTTTTGGTCGATATACAGAAGAACAAATCAGAAACCTTCAAATGAAACTCTGCACATGGCAACTCCGCTTTTCACAGACCTTACCTTAAACACAACTCCTGAAAGAGTGCTGTAAACGAAAGACATTGACTAAACATTAGAATTTTTCGGATATCCCTTCTTGGTCGGTACGAGAAATTTATTCAAACATTCCGTGATTAATACAAGTTGCCTTTGGACTCTACAATCACAAGAGATGCTCAAAATGGTGGCCTTTATTAGTACAGCGAGTTACTGCTTGGGCAACGTTGGCCAAAGTTCAGTGGGATTGCTGTACATGCATTTTTGTGTTTTTTAGAAATAATTATGAAAAACACAATAAGGAAATTTTAATTAAATGCTTAAAACATAAAGAAAAAAACAGTGATTCAGAAATAAGAATAAATAATAACAAAGAAAAATTATGTATCTGTAGGAATTCATTATTCATTTATTTGTTTTATTCATTGAATAATACATGTCTCAGGAATCTATAGATTAAAAATGTACTATTTCATCTATTGAGAATCTTAATATTAAAAAAAAATATGTTAGAAACATTAAAAATAATCTTAAATTAAGGTGAAGCCAACATCAATTTTCTTTCAAAAATAATGTGTATCGTAACCAAACATTCCTATCCAAGTATTTTGACATGACCAAAATTCAGTATCTGTCTATATTTCTGAGATGAGGTATTATGTACACTATTTACATTATTCAGACTATTGTCCTCATCTTTGTCGCCATATTTATTACAATAGTCCGAATAATGTAAATAATGACCAAAATTTAATCATAAATTGTAGTAATTTATATTTATTAGCTTGGGGTGCCTGAGACCCGGGATTTACCTTGACTCTTCAATGAGCCAGGTTGTGACACAAGTTTGGTTTTTAACGTGGGGACCCGAGTGGAAACACTCGGTTTCCTGGTCTAAGCTGGTCATGGTTTGTCTAAAATTGTTATAGCCGGTCGTACCACCGCTACAGAACAAATGTTACGCAACGGGGCGAGGGGAGAGCGTAAAGGGAGGAGAGAAGGTCACCGGCACGGAACAGATACTACAACCGCAGCATCTACTCCGACGGTGTGGGGGGGGCGACCTTTTCTACTACTCTGCCAACTTCTTCCAGAAGAGGGCTGTGACTGAGGCCCTATGCTCATCAGGGAACCTAAATAAATAAATAAGACAAATAATGGAAAGCAAATAGGACCAACCAAAGAGATTTAGTAAATAATAAATTAATGAATCAGATATGTCTACTGTATTTCACATCTATACACAAACATGCGCATGCGCGGGCATGCGCATTCAAACACACGCACACTCCCCAAAACACATATCTTAAGACCCGAATAGAAGCGGAGATTCAAATAAAATGGTATGCTGGAAAATTCATTTAAAACTAATTTGTCTTCCGAACAAAAACGGAAGGAAAGGCGAATAGAACAAATGGACAGGCTTGTAAAAAAGACAGTTTTAAAACATAGTGCAAAATGGAATAAATGTCGGCAGTGTTTGAAATAATGGGTAAAATAAAACAATTATAGGTAAAAAAAATAATGGGCTAAAAAAATAATGGGCAAAAAAATAATGGTTAAAAAAAATAATGGTTAAAAAATAATGGGTAAAAAATAATGTGCAGAAAATAATGTTTAAAAAAAATAATGGGTAAAAAATAATGGGTAAAAAAATAATGTGCAAAAAAATAATGGGTAAAAAGAATAATGGGTAAAAAAAAAATCGGTAAAAAAAAATTAAAAACCCGGCTGCTCTATTCCGAACATGAGAGTATACATGCACTGAAACACACGCTCTAAAATAAACTATAATTAAACGTGTTAATGGCTTTTTATATTTTCATTTTTGAACGTTGTCCACTGCCCGAATTACTGTTTAACAAGTCACCGTGACCTTTACAAAAATGTCGCTGTGACCAAAAATGCTAACTTGTCTCGTCCAGAAGCGATAATTCGTACCAGGGAAATATTCCAGAACTAGCAAAATACGTGTGGTATTTCCCAGAACCCCCCTTCATCTATCCCAAATTGTCATGGGAATATGCCAAAAGCAATTATTATATTGTAGCTTATGGATTACCTCATTGCGTAAACGTACACCATTTTTTTTTTACGCCACATAACTGTTTTAATCTCCTGGGAGATTATTAAAAAAAAAAAGGATTTTGTTTTGTTTCGTTTTGTATATTTTAATAACGATTTTAATGAACACATCTTGACGTGTGAACAATTGTCTCATCCGATTTAATCAGACTAAGCTCACCCCCCTGCACTGCCATAACAATTAGAATCGCCTTGATTATTGAACTATCTGGCATGCCCTAACCCGTTCATTCTCATTTTCAAACCAGTCAACATTGTTAATTTCATAGGCAGGATTTTTTTTTCTCACTGATTAAATATTGTAAACCAAATGGTTTGTCTCATGTCGGTTGAAAGTAAATGCCTGAGAAGAAAAATGGATGGCTGGAAGATTTAACACTTTCATAGAAGGTTTCATTCATGAAATACAGAAATACGAAATATCGATTAACTGGCGCATGAGGTGGCTCAGCAATTATTATTATTATTATTATTATCATTATTATTATTATTAATGATAATAATAATATCCTCAAAAACTATCAAAATAAAAGCATCTTGAAGTGGAAATCTAAAAAATGTAGCATATGAGGACATCAGTAATTCCAGTAGTAGTTGGAGCCCTCGGATTGATTGGAAAAGGTTCCGATAGACTCATTGAAGGGATACCTGGTAGCTCATGACTTAACGAACGACAAAAAAATTCTACTCACAAGTACAGCCGACACCTTACGAAGGGTTTTATCTATGTAAAATATGTGTGATCTTAGCTCTCTGGTTGGGACCCGGAAAGAAAGGAGTATACGCCAGAAATCAATGGAAATAATAATAATAATAATAATAATAATAATAATAGGCATGACAGAGTGGAGCATCACCCAGATCCAATTAGAGAGACAGGATCTGTAACAACTTTATGCGATTTTACAATACAGACATAATAATGCAGATTGTAATGTATCTTTGAAGATCTTCAAAAAAAAAAAAAAAAACTATCAATATACAAGGATTTTGAAGTGTAATTGTGGTACATGACGACATCAGTAATTCCAGTTGTAGTTGGAGCCCTCGGATTCATTGGAAAAGGTTCAGATAGACTCATTGAAGGGAATCCTGGTAGCCCATGTCTTAAAGACATACAAAAAAATGTACTCACAAATACAGCTCACCCATTACGAAGAGCATTATCTATTTAAAATGTGAGTGATATTAGGGTTTTTCTTAATTTATTTTTTTTATTTTTTTTTTATAAAAATGATGATTGGAAAATGTCATGAAGCGATTTGTAAACGGAAACATACCTAGATGTCATATTCCTTTCAGAGAAGGAAGTTGATCTGACAAATAATAGTTTTATTTATTGGGTCATTCTTTCTCTCTCTCTCTCTCTCTCTCTCTCTCTCTCTATATATATATATATATATATATATATATATATATATATATATATATAAAGACAACAGACAAGGTACTACGATTAAGCTTTTTATTTAATTTTTCTTGTTTTCGAACAAGTGCTTTCTTTTTTGGATGCTGTGTGTAGAAACTGTCCAAATGTTCTGTAATTCCGAGCGCTTTCGGCTATACGTTTAGCCATTATGAAGGATGATTTTATTTTTGCTTTTTTAATGGGTGTATGGGTTGTGTGTATATTTCTGGTGTCAATAGTGATGTTTTATTTTCCGAACACAGTTAACACATTGTGGCCGTGTTCGTAGTTAATATTATTAAATGTTGGCTTTTTCTTTTTACAAGACCTTACTCCTTTCATCAGCAAGGTGTTCAAGGGAGAATAAACTTATGTTTGGAGGACCTTTTTTTATTCATTTCACCCCAAGCAAGGCAATAATGTCACTAAGACGCAGAGGGGGGGTGCTACTTGGTGTTAGAGAACATGAAAAAAATACTATAAAAGAGAGAGGACAATAAAAGAACAAGAATTAAGAAGACAGAAGGAACGTTCATCAGAACAATTACCATGAAAGTATTTATAAAGAAAAAGGAAGCTACGTTTGCGCCGGTAGGAAAGTGATTAAATTAGAAATGATTTGTCTATATTTCTAAGATGAGGTATTATGTACACTATTTACATTATTTGGACTATTGTCCTCATCTTTGTCGCCATATTTA